TGACGACTGCTCGCCCGCCAACCCGTGCCAGAACGGCGGGAAATGCTTGGACCAGGTCAACGGCTTCCTGTGTGACTGTACGGGGACTGGCTTCACAGGGACCACCTGTACAGCAGAAGGTGGGGGCCCAATATTGCTTTCTTTTCTACTAGTTTGTTCGTTTTAGTATTTTTTAAAAAGAGGGGGGGGGGCGGGCGAGATACAACTGCAGGTGGGGACCACCGACTTCCTTTTCTAGTGGTTTTATCGTTTTAGAAACTCTGTAATCCAAGAAATGGTGGGCACAAATATTGTCAAGCATCATATCCAACACCAACGAATCAAATGGTTCAGACATCTCCTACGATTACCAACACACCATCCAGCACAACGTGCCAACATCCCATAAATTCGATGGCAACAAGGCTAGAGGGCGACCGAGAAAGACCTGGATAGATGGAGTCAGGGAAATATTAACCACCCACGGCATCCCCCTGACCCAAGCTCTCCGGCTGACGACAGAAAGACGTCTCTTTCTTCCCGCGACACCCAAAAGGGTATAAGCGGCGGATAAAAGTAAAAGTAAAGTAAAGTAAAGGGGAGGGGGGGGGAGGGTGCGAGATACAGCTGCAGCTGGGGGCCACCATTACTTTCTTTTCTAGTGGTTTGTTCGTTTTAGTAAGGGTTTTTACAGCGTTCGCAAATGCATAAGGTCATGTGGTCGCTTTTAAGCACAAGGGGGCTGTCCCCCAAAAATGCTGTTTTGAGAAAATCGAAGTTAAAAGTTTTTGGACCCTTGTTTAGTTTCTTTAAAAAACAAGAAGAGTTTTCTCTACAACCAAACAAATGTATACACCAATGAAACAAAACGTCTCCTATAGGTAGAGTAAAGTCTACTTTTAGTGTAGGTCAAGATTTCTGGAAAACCCCGAAATCTGGGTTAGCCCGTTTGTCCTTAAAAGCAACCATAAGAATGAGCGCCAAGGGGTGGATGTTAGCAGAGAAGTCCATACGAGGAACCAGGCTTACTATGCTCTCCTTTCTTCTTTTAGTAAGGTTTTACGGCGCTCGCAACAGCATAATATTAAGGTTATATGAGCGCAAAGGGGTGGATGTCAACAGAGAAGTCCAAACGGGGAATCAGGCTTACTCAGCTCACCTCTCTAGCCTGAGCAGCACAGAGTCTGCTTCGACTGTCAATGCATCCCGGAAATAGCAGTTCACCAGAGAGTGACAAACATACAAAAGAAGTAGGGGGCAAATGACGGTAGTAAGGATGAGGAAAGAAAAAGCAGCAGTTCCCCCTATGTTGATCTCGTGGTTAGGCTCTCAGACTCACAACCGTAAGGTCGTGAGTTTGAATCCTGTCAGCGACTCAACGTTGTGTCTTACGGAAAGGCACTTTACACGAATTTTCCTCACTTCACCCTGGCGGGAATGGGACCCTACCATAAACAGTAGTTGTTGTTTTTGTTGTTTTCAAATCCCTTTAGCTGCGAGAATTTCGCTCTTGGCAGCGCTATGCCTAACTCAAGTAACCACATGTCCTTGTCATCTGGTCAACGTCAGAGTAGAGCAGGCTTTGTAAGTCTGTAGGTGTGTGTGGGAGCCTGCGTCAAAGAACTGCCAAGTTTGGGCAGTGAAGGAGAAGATGTTCAACGGTCTCCTCATGGTAGTTACAGTGTCTGAAATGGGGTTCCCACATGGGGTTAATTCTGTTTATGTGCTTGTTATAGACAGTAGACCGTGAAATATCTTGTCAGTGTGTTAGTTTTTGAGCGCTTAATCAGCTGTTTGCACTGTATGCTTCACGGAAAGCTGAGAATGTTTCTGAGTGTTCTATGGTCTGCTCGGGTAATAACATGGTGTAAAACGCAGAGGGTTTGCTGCAGATCGAGCGAGTTGTGTGTGTTACTCTCTTGTAACACCTCTAATCTTCGGCACTTATAATAAATATGACCTTATTGTGTTGCTAAGAGCAGTTTAGTATTTAACATACCTAGAGCTCGCGGGAAGCGGGGTGGGGAGTTTAGATTGTTCATGTAAATGGGGGCACGCCAGCCATGCTTATGAGGGTAAGAAGGCTCCCATGTTTGACACGTGTGACGTCACTGCTGAGAGCTCTAGTACTGTTATATATATAACCTTTTTGGTATGAACTAAAAACGTCAACAATTGATGACCAAAATTGTGTCGATAGTGCCGTAAAACATCTACCCAATCAATCAAAACAATTGATGACAATGATTTGATAGACAAACCTTTTTAAAAACTACTAATCTTATATTTACTTTTCGTATGAAAATCAATCAAAACTCTCCTTACTTAGGCTTCTCTGCTTTTCAAACAATGATGATGATGATGATGATGATGATGATGATGATGATGATGGTGATGATGATGGTGATGATAAATGTAATTAATCGTACCATGACCTCAAAATAGTTTTAAAACCCTTCCACAGTTCCCTTTTATTTTTACTTTTATTTTTTTATTCATTTATTTATTTATCATTTGGTAA